TATACAATGGCAGGGGGCGCTCACCGATCGTTCTTACGGAAATCACTCGTTCCGTTGTGTCTTATGGACTCTCTTTCGAGCCCAACCAGCGGCCGCACAGTGGCTCATGATACAGGCAGAATGGTATTACCGACAAAGACATTGGAGACTGAAATGGCCATTTCTGGCCTATTAGTCGTCGTCAGCCAATCATATCCAACCCCGAAATGTGGAACACCCGAGGAACACCCACATACACATGCACACCGCTCACATGCGTGAGAGTGCCAAAAGTCAAGTTAAGAAGTAACCGCTGTAGCCTGAGTCTCAGTCTGTCACTCCACGCAAACACACGCAACTGAGCTGACTGCGTGGACTGAGTTGAGGTGTCAGTCGGCAACCTTTCAAGCCACGGCACTTGGCGCACTATGATAGCCTCAGACTCGGATCACAGATGCAGGAGGATAGCCACATGGAGAAGGAGTCGGGAAGCCCAATTCCCACTTACGTGACAGGTGTCCATTTAGTGTTCGCGTTGTATGGCGTCGGGTGATGTTGATGTGTGGAGAAGATGCTGCTGGGCAAACGTTTGATGGTGTGGTTTTTATGAAGGCGCATGTGACCTAATAGGCCCATGCGGTGGCTTAGTGTGGGAAGCAGTAAGGCAGTTGAGGGTGGTGCGTCGAGTGTGTGTGGGTGCTCCAAATAGTGGCACGTCAGTCTCTGCGCGATGAATTTACAGGTGACCCACCGGGCTCACGTGAGAGGAGACTGTGCGATCGCAATGAGAACAGGTTGGGACCGAGTCCACATCGCTGGAGGAGAGTGTCAGTGAAGATGGTAGCAGGTGGTAGGACGTCGGACGTCATCCCATCAGTGGTGTAAACGGAGCTGGTCGCTGCAATCGACGCACAGGTCGAGGTATGGCAGCGACAGTGGGACCGTCGGTGATGAGTTTGCGATAGGGGCGAGAGTGGAAGAAGAAGAAGAAGAAGAAGAAGAAGAAGAAGAAAGAAGAAGAAGAAGAAGAAGAAGAAGAAGAAGAAGAAGTTGACGTTACCAGGTTGTTAGTGCATCTCACCAGAAAGTGTCCTCCGCGGCCGATTCGCGCGTGGAATGTGCGACGGCAGCGCGGGCATTTTGGAATCGACTGACTGTTGGCAGTTTTGAGTTCAATTGAAGGTCGTGGCGATTCCGCACGGATTTCGGCAACCGGCCGAAATATTAGCTGACTTTGCCATCGATTCTGATGCAGCGTGAAACTTTGCTGCCTAGGTAGTTGAAGTTATCCACGGTTTTCAGTTCGTTGTCGCTGACGCGGATACAAGCGGCACTGTACTCAGCGTTGGGTTGTGTTCGATGCGTGACCACCGGCCGGTATGTGTTGATGGTCGGTCCGAAGTGGGCACAGTCGGAGGCATAGAGATCCATGCTTCGTTGCATCTCTTCTTCAGTCGTAGTGTTGGCTTCACAGTCGTAGGCGAAGAGAAGTCTTTGGGTGGTAGCAGTGGATACACGCGGCTGGAAGTGCACCCGCCTACAGGATTGAGGCGTTGGCCGCCCATCCTGTAGGCGATGCGAATTTTGGTGGACGTTCGTCGCGGTAGGCGTCCATCAGCATGGCAGAGAACATGAGACCGAAGAGGGTAGGTGTGAGAACGCAAAGCTGCTTCACCCCCTTCGTCACTTCGAATGCCTCTGTTGTCCGTGGAGCGCACCATAAGCTCATCGTAGAGCTGACGCATCATCTGAGTGAATCGCTCGGGACAGCTGGATCTCTTCGTAATTCACCCTTTCGCCGTTCACGCTTGTCCCCTAGAAAGTACATTATGCCCTCTGGAAGTATTGGTGCGGCTTCAGCTTTATAGTACGACCCGCTTTGAGTAAACACAATTTGGGTATGTGTACGCCAGTTTCTATTCGTCCGTCGCTGCTGACTGAGGAAGGGGGGAATGAGGCCGAAACAGTTGCCGTCGCAGTCCCTCCTGTTTTTGTGGGCCTGTCTAGGGCCTACCTGGCTACTCTGCCAATTTTATAAACTGCTAATTCGATCACAATGACTTATATAATAAGTCAGACGGGCTGACTGGATCTCACTCCGCACTTAACGAATGTCTCACACGCGTGTGCTACTTGCTAACCGAAGGTTTTATACGCCAGATTCATCAGCAGTCAACCGTCAAATCAATACGCTAACGGAGAATGATGAGGTGGCACACTAGTGAGTCGAAGCGCTCGCAGCTGTAACGGCAGAAAGTCGGAGCCTTTACAACTGGTATCTGCGCCGTCTGTATGTTGAATCATACAAAATATGCACTTGAAGGTAGCACAACGCACGGATGGCGATGTCCTGGGAGCTTTCAAGACGATACAATAGCTCGGCCTCCCTCAGAAATGAGGATCGGACTGCAAGGGTGCCATCTTGTTAAAATCATTACGGCAGCTGCAACCTGCGCAGTTTCAGAGACCTCTGTGTTTAAATCTGCTTCGCCTGCATGCATGAACCAGGTTCTACGTGACGTGCATAGACGAATTGTTTGCATTTGTCGGTTGCTGCGTCCACATCCGCCTCCAGGTGTCCTAAATTCGTCTTGTCAAATGGGGCATGATGGGCGTGGGAATAGGGGAGGTGGGGGGAGGAGGAGGAGGCTTAGGGTAACTTTTGCCTCGCTTGTGAAAAAAGTTCACGCACAAATCAACACTGCTCCCACCCTGTGCGTCAGTGATGAACCTCGCCGTTTGCGAGGTGCAGGCCATCATCTCGAAAATTGCCTCTCGGACTGGCCCTTGGTGGCTGGCACTTGAATTTGCTCGGTCGTTTCTTCCCTCTCCACTTTTCCACGGACATTTTCAGCTATCGCCAGGCCAATAATGTTCTCGCGATTTTTGTTACAGTTCGATGCAGTGGCTTGTTGAATTTTGTTCATGCACCTCGAATCCTTGTGCGTTTATGTACGTAATGGTGCACAGACTTGTTTCATAATTTAAACGTTTTATGGGGATGCCCCCTGGTACAGTATTTCAATCATTCTCGCTTTAAAATCTCCATAAAATGAGTGTAATTCCACCACATTTTTGCGTGAATCTGAATGTGGAGCAGCGGTTATAGACGTGTGCTATAAGCTCTATATGGTATTTGGAGATGCGCTAAAAGAATGAACTAAAATCAGGTATTGCGGAAACTGTTCCACCGCCAAAAATGAACTTTATGATGCACCGCCCTCAGGAGAATCCTCAGCTACCAGTAACGATAGGCTATGGAAAAAAATAAAATTAAGATCGACTTATTAAGGACCCCCCCAAGCCATTTAAACTACTTACGCGACAATTCCGTCACATATTTATCAACTTGTAAAATCGTGAATGCAGAACAAATGGATTCAGCATACAGTTTGTTCCTCCCTTCTTTCCCACCATCGTTTGCTTGCTTGCCTACTTTTGATTAAAAAAACACATACTCGGGTGAACCTCTCATTGGTTGTTGTCAAAAAGTCCAGTAGCACACACTTCAAAGACACCGCTTAGTCGTCAGCATATTATGATATGTTGTCAGCATTGTCCACTACGAGTTTCTTGACAAAGGACAACAATATGGGTCTGGATCTACCCTCGCATTTCTCCGAAGATAGTCGTGACTGGTTAGTCAGCAAAAAGCCTTATTTATGTGGAATAATTTAAGAAATTTTACTGTAGGACTCACCCGGGAATAAATGTGTACTCTTAGGTAGGAATTTCAGTCTCGCCGCCGCCCCTATATTCTCCTAACGCGTATCCAAAAACCGTCATTTCTGACACTGGATCACTACCTACAAAATTGACCAACAAAGAAGAAAGTGGAGAAGAGGTCTGCGTGATTTCCACGTCTAGAGAAGCCGCAGTCAATAAAAAAAACTCAACTTACGAAATTCCATTCGTTTAGAAAGAGTTGCAGGTTGCGAATATGCTTACAGTCAGTGATTGAAATCCTGAAATTCGCATTTGATTAGGAAGGATTGCCCAGGTCGGGTTGTTAAATCGATTAACTTTTGACATAATCCAATGATATTTCGGGCTCGCCAGCATGTTGGCTTTTGAAAGCAGTTCTTGTCGACCTGTAAAAACCTCACAAGATATAAAAGTACTACTTATGCAGTGCACATTTTTCACATTGCTTTTCGATCCCCTTCTATATTTAAACAGATTTTATAGAAAACATGCAGGAAAATATACCTCCTACCACTCACTCGGTAGCTAATCATGTCATCTACACTTTATATCTGAGGAAATAGTGCAGTTCGGTTTTCATAAAATATTTATTATTAGATTTATACGACCACACTATCTCCATAAATATAGCGCCGTACCCCTACGTTACTTAATACTCAACACGAAATATGACATAGTCTCTATCCATTGCCAAAGTGCATGAGCTCTACATGGTATCGTTTAAATTGCATAGAGAGAGATGTGATTTTCTTCATGTGGAAGCATAAACCTTGTAGACCGTAAAAGCTAAAAGCAAATGTAACGTCGGATTGGACTCGAAATTATTGGTGATTTGAAAAACACTTTTAAAACCGATGCATATTATTTCTTCGGGAAAATGGCTGAAGAAAGCAGTATTTGATACTACGAAAGTATATTATTTTGCCTGTTTCCCCCATAATATGCTTTGAATTTGGAGGACATTGAAAATAAAGAGAAATATTTCTGCTACACAAGTAGCTAATACTTTTCTAGTACATTTGTAAAGGGAAGCTGAAAAGAAGTAAATGCTAAAGTTATCATCCGAATTTTACCCTTCTTTTGAGTATGAAATTGAAAGAAGACGTGATTTTTTACCGAATAAGTAAAATAATGAATATTTTCATGCATGTTTTCCATGAAACATAATTGAATATTCAAGGGCATCGAAAATCAATTAGAAAATTGCATACTAGTTAAGTAGTCATTTTTTGCAGAGTATAGATCTTGCATGCAGCCGAAAATAAGTTCCTTCGAAAGCCGACACCCTGAGGTAACTAGATCATTATAGATTTATGCTGCATCTTGATTAGTTTTTCAACACTACTTAATTTATCTTTTCAAAACGAGAACGCATTTCGAAATTTTGGTTGACATTGCATGAGTTAGCACATCTACTGTATTTTATGCTGACAGTTCATGCGGTTTGTTTTGACGCGAACCGCTTCTTATAATGTGCACCAAACCCGATTTGCTGTTGACTAGTCGAATTTTGTCAGCATAATTCCAAAAACGCTGTGCTCTACTGTATATTAATCATGATCTAGGGATCAAATCAGGGTACTGAAACACACAAGCTGAGATGACCCATCCAAACTTGCTGTTTAAGAAACTTTACGAATTTCCAGAACTTCCATATATTATTCATAACAAAATACACGAACAAGTCCTTTAAGGAGCAAGAATAAACTACCATTACCTTGAACGGAAATTCCGGAAACGTCTTTATGAAATGGCAAAAAAATTTCGAGAACGAAATATCCTAACGCTCATAGAGTACGGGAGTTAAGTAATCGAGATAATGAATCTTAATTACCCATTCTATGGGAGACGACATATTTATTGACACATAATACCATGAAGAAGTGATATGAGGACACCAAAAAACCAGCATTTTCGTTTATTAGAGTAATATAATTCACGAATATTCAATGTCTAGTCCAGGGACCTACAAAAAATTCAAGGCCCGATATGGAGGAGTGTCATCTTTCCAGGGCACAGTATGTGGATTTGGCCTTTTAATTTCCTTCAAAATAACTGTAAACTTGGAGTAGATCAGTATGCTTAAGGTCCATAGGCTCAGAAATCCATCTGTCGCAGCGATTAACCGCGTAATATTCAGTAACTGCCAACAGGCAGCTAGTAGTATAATTTAGGGCAAGGAGGTTACATACTTACAGCACGGGTACTGGCCAAAAGCCCATACACGAGTGTTTCGCCGATATTCTGCCGCTGCATGACTCAGTTGCGAGGGCTTCGGCTCGTCGGTGGGCCTCCCAGCATTCCTGGTAGATAGCCCAATTTAGAAATTGTAGCCTTTATATAGTTCCTGGAAAACTACTGCGAACTTGGAGTAGATCAGCATATTTAAGGTATATAAGCTCAGACTTAAGTTTTTATGTATGTGGTTGCAGTTCATAGGACAACCGCAGCTAAAGTAATGCAGATATTCTGCCGTTGCATGACACAGCTACGAGGGGTTCGGCTCATCAGTGGGTTCCCCAGCATTCCCTGTCTGCTTTCTGGCAGATACCCCAATTCAGAAGTTGTTGCCTTTATAAATTCTATAAAAAATATCTGCGAAATTTGAATAGCTCAGAATATTTAAGGTATAAAATCTCAGGCTTAAGTTTTTATGTATGTGGTTGCAGTTCACAGGACAGCTAATGTGATGCAGATTTCGTCGACTTTCGTGGACTGCTAACAAACGATCTCTGAAATTCGCTTATTAGACCGCCCTGATCCTCTCATACGCCCCACAATTTCATTTTCCGCAAATATATTGCAATTAAAGGTTATATGGTTTCTTTCAATAAAAACGAACTATAAACCTCATTTTCTATCCACAAATGCTCTTTCACCTACATTTATCACACTAAACACAGTGTTATCTCCTTTACATAAAACAAAACTAAGGAGTCTGGTACAGATTTCAAAATACAACTTGGTATTCAAAAACATTGACAAAATTCCAGCATTTCCAGATATGAGTAATGACGATTTACG